TCCGGCAGCATATAAATCGTTGTCGGTAGCTGAAGTCAGTGTGGAAGGCAATGGCGGATACTGACGTTTTTCATAGCCTGTTTCCTAGTTTCCAACCTCCCCCCTCCAATCTACCACCGCCCTCGGTCCCATCGCCTTATTCGTTTTTCGTCTGGGGTTAAAACCCTGAATATCCATTTCACAGGAGTTAATAAACATTGATTTATGTGTCTTATAAATTAAAACTAAATAGACTGCGAACTTGGCCAGAGGAGGGGCAGTCGCCCCCCCTCTCCTCTGCCTGCCCCCCTCTTCGTAGCTCGGCGTCTGGGCCCCTCTAGCCCGTGGGCCCGGTGCAGTTGCGCCGCCTGCACATTCAATAGCTTCGCCACTGGGTCATTCCGTGTCAAATCAACAGTGTTAAAAGGTGACTTTCTCCGACTTGAATGAAATTTGGCAGACTTATTTGTACCTGTTAGAGAGTGATTCACAGCAATTATTGGGTTCATTTGACTTCTTGTTCCTCAGATATGAGGTCATGAGAATTTGGGTTTAAATGCCTTCCGGCCGCATCCTGAGACAGTCTTCACTTCAGAACTTCTGCCCCAATTGTGCTAGAGACCTCTTCTTTGGATTGTTTGAAAGTTCTTTTCATGTCCTTTCCAGAGATTGGACTAGTTTTTGGCAAAATGATAAATGCTATCTTTTAGTGAAGAGGTCATTAACTTCTGCCCCAATTGTGCTAGAGACCTCTTCTTTGGATTGTTTGAAAGTTCTTTTCATGTCCTTTCCAGAGATTGGACTAGTTTTTGGCAAAATGATAAATGCTATCTTTTAGTGAAGAGGTCATGGCAATGGCCTTTGACCCTCACATTACAAAAAACAACCATTTTAGATTTTAATAAAAATTGGCTGGTTTGTAGGCAAGACATATGGCTACCTCTGTGTTAAATTTTACTTTGGGCTCTCTAGAAGTTCCAAAATAACAAGTAGTGCTTGCTACAATAACATTCTTACATTCATTAATGCCTTCCAATTCAATGCATTACAGAGAACTGAAACACAATAAAAAGAAATCAGTACACCAATCACAGAACCAAGACAAAAAGTATTGATGGTACATTCCCTCTATTTCTTGTTCTTGTGAAGACATGTTGATGCATCCACCATCTCTTCATTGGACAGTTTGTATGTACGTCCTGTTTCTGTTGAGGGATTCACAAGTGAAAGGACTTGACTATGATGTACTCTAAGTTCATCAGATTTGTGAGGATAGGAAAATAAAGGGGCTGGGCCATGTGGATGAAGGAAACGAACAAGAATTTCCTCATTGTCTTTAAATTTTGCAAGAACATTTGCAAGATACCAATGTTCACCATATTCACATGTCACAAATGCTCGAATATGACATCTCCATTGGAGTGTTGAACTTGACATATGCAAATGTGCTTGATTTTGAAAACTGTTTCACTCTGATAGAAGATAGAGGAATGTAACAATGAAGACTCTGTGTCCCAGGAATTGCCTGTATGCCTGCAAACCATCTTTGGAGCTTCCTATGCGTTTCTCTGATCTCTGTCTCAAGGACTAACTGAAACCTTATAGTTCTCAGATTCTCTTTGGCCCACAAAAAGAGATCTTGGGGGATCTGAATTTGCAATCATATGGCCTTTGGAGGCTCACTCTTGCAGCTAATCTTTTGACTGTACCACCAGCACCATCACATGGCCCTTTGCCATTTGATGTGGCAAAAAAAGTGCCACTCTGCTGGAATTCCAAAATCAGCCTCATGAAAGCAGAGGTTGCAGAAATACTTTTTATTTTTATACTGGCTAGCTGCACCATCTGAGAAATAGGTAATTTTCTTGATAAGGCCAACTGTTGCCTCCTCTTCATGCAACAGTGAAATGAGATTCTTCTGGAAGGTATAGACTGTGACTGTGTCATGTATAAGAGGGTTGGTTATGATGACAAAGCTCAAGTGTTGCAGTTCATTTCCATCATTCACATTTTTGTCAGAATTCTTAAAATAGCAAACAAAAGGATGAATTGTAGCCTGATTATTATTCCAATGGATTCCTTGTGCAGCATCTTGAAGAACAAAGGAGAAGTTCTATGCAAAATCTAGAAGAACAATGACTTCACCATCAGCAAGGTTTTCCTTTCTTTCCTGAAGAAATGATGATTGCTGCTGGGCAATGAAATCATGTTTTCTCATAATGATGATCTTTTTAAGGAAGTACTCCAGGAACTCCTCAGTGCTTTTCACCATTGTCTCCAGAGTAGACCTATCTGTTGACACCCATTGTTTGAAGATGATGGAGTCCATCATTCTGTCATCAAAGTCTTTTTGATGCTGAGCTCAGATTCTTGCTGTACCAGGACAATTTGTACACTGATTCAGATAAGATTCATGAGAGGCAGGATTACATGTTGTTAAGGAGAGGATATCACGGTTTGTCTTCATTTGGAAAGTGTTGCTTCCTGTGAGAGAAGAGAAGTTTACAGCTTGTACCATTAGTTTCACATTCTGGTGAATCATACAAAGACATACAGCATGAGTACCACTGGCTCCAGCCAGCACACAGTTCTTAGGCCTCAGCTCAGCAAATTTGGAGAAGCCTATCTTGAGTTGTGGATTCTTCTCTTTGAATGTCTCATAGATCTCTTCCAAATTTCCAAGGATAAGTCTCTTCTGCTTCTGCTGCCTCCCATCACTTTCTTTCACAGAGATGAAGTCCTTCGCTCCAGGCATTATCCTGCTGATTTCATCGTGGCAGTAGAAGTCCTGGACAATANCATAGATCTCTTCCAAATTTCCAAGGATAAGTCTCTTCTGCTTCTGCTGCCTCCCATCACTTTCTTTCACAGAGATGAAGTCCTTCGCTCCAGGCATTATCCTGCTGATTTCATCGTGGCAGTAGAAGTCCTGGACAATATTAACATGATTCATTGGTAGGGCCTTCCCTGGTTTTGGGTTGGGATTTGCAAGAATCCCCTTCTCCATGACCAATTTCTTCACACTCCTTGCCATGAAATATGATATTCCAAATTCTTGCTCCAGCTTCCTCACACTCCAGCTTTTTGGAGTCATGGTCAAGATTTGTACTTTTTCACTCCTTTTTCGTTTCCTGTAATTTTTCTTTCAATTGATTCATAATTTCAAGATACTCTGCAGTTTGGCTACAGGAAGGTCCATCAGAGCTGATGTCACTTCCACACCCAATGGCTTCGTTGTGACTAGCTGACAGATATTGGAAATGTTTATTCACTGTTTCTGCTATCTTCCTTCTATTTTCTTTAGGGTATTTCTTATGGGCCATTTTTTCACCTTTCACTGGTGTTTCTCCCATCATCTGCAGAGATTCATCGAGATGCTTGATTTGAGTTGATGGCCCTGGTTGAAAGATGTCATCTTCCATGGTCTCAGGTGTTGCCACTGATGATGTTTAGGATGAAGATGCTGCAAGGTACTCATGGCTTTCTCATGAGCTTTTCAGGAAGGATCTTCCTGCAACTAGTACACAATTATTTTCCTGGAATGAGGAGGATAACTGCTGAGTACTGATCACAGGTTTCTACATCGATCGTTCTCAAGTTTCTCTTCCTTGACTGGCCAGCGTGAATCGTCACAGCAGGATTTTTCTCTTATTTCAAAGGTTCTTAGAAACTGTTCTGCATGATGAGCACACACAGCTTCTATTTTCTTCACCTGGCTCCTTCGAATAAGAAGATCCTTTTCCACGAGGGTGAATGAGTCCACACTTTTCAGTGTTCTGTGGTCACAGAAGTCCAGTAAATTCAGGCATTCACCAATGGTACAAATGTTTTTCAGAACTGTGTATTCTTCAGCACAATTATCCTTCCAAAAAATACGCCCAAGTAGCTACTCTCAAGTTTTCTATATTATGAACATCAACAAAGGGAATTGAATTAAAAGCAGATAAATACTGTATATTTATGTTTTGTTGTGCTCAGCAGTGTCAGCAATCACTTTGCCCAACTTCATATCTCAGCTGAAGTCATGCATATGAACTATTTTTCACTTCCAAGCATGGAAGTAGAAACTTCCTTTAATATAGGCATAATACTACTTGTGCATTAAATGCACTTGCAGTATTTGTATGTATGAAATTGAATCAAGGTTATAGAGTTTATTTTTACTTTGGATTCAATGGAAATAACTGTTAAATGCATTCCCATAGGTGCCCATAATAATGTTGAATTCTCACACTAATCAATTTCATGCAAATGGCCTGGTATCTTCATAAATTACCAAGCGCCCAATATAAAATTCGCTACAGAGGTATTACATTTTAAATCGTAAACAAGTATGTCTTGTTTACGATTTATCCAATTTTCATCAAAATTAAAGAGGGTTGTTTTTGACAGCGTGAGGTCAAAGGTCATCAACATGACCTCCTTACTGAATGGTAACTTTTAGCATTCATCAAAATGTATCAATACCAATGGAAAGAACTGGAAAAGAACTAAAAAATGAGTCTAAGATGAGCTCTCTAGCATAATTAGGACCAGAGTTTCAAGGAGAAGACTATATCAAGGTATGAAATAAGGCATTTCAGCCTCAAATTTTGTGACCTCATACCAAAGGAACAAAGGGTCTAATGAACCCAATATTTTGTGAGAATTTGTTTCTCACCATTGTTGATAGGTACACCAAATATCATCCAAATCTGAGGGGGGTCATCTGAAAAATGTCCTGAAAGTGTGTTGATTTGACACGGAATGACTCAATAGTCACTTCTAAAGGTCCTGGATCTTCATGTTGCTAATTATTCTGACTACCCCTTCCAAATTTATATACAGGCAATTTCTATTATAAGGAAATAAAAAGGTCAATATATATTAATGTCTACTGTTTCCTCATGAAACTTTTTCCCTTTTCTATATTTCCCTCAATGGATAGCGGCAAATGGCAAGCTAACACTGTTACTTACAGATAAAGATTCAGAATTTCAGTGGGAAAACAATCCAAGCATGCACTTTAGTAAGTTCATTTCTCAAAAGGTGCAGGAGTAAGTCATGCAATTGTCAAAACCATGCCTCACCCGAATGACAAAAGTGGATGAAACTGGCTTGTGGTCACTGGAGGTGTATGCTGGATGGCTAGTGTAAGATAGCTGATCCACTGACAGTTCCGTGCCAACATATGCATTCTCGACAACTCTGTACAATATCCGATCACACCATCCCGGTCTCTTCCTGTGTGGACATCCAAAACAAAGAAAACCTCTTTCGGCTGTGACACGAAGATCAGCGTTTCCTTTTTTTGCCACACTTCCACGATATAATCCCCATTCTCTTATAGAGAAAGAAATAGTATTAAATCATTATCATGGTGAAGAAGATATGGGAGAATGTAATTTAGTGGCTTGCCACTCAACTCAGCTTCTTACAGAATGTACATATTCCTTACATGTCTTCATCCAGTAATATATGACTAAGGGGAAGAACACTAACATGAATTCATTTTCATGTTAAGTCTTAAATATGATAATGATGAGGACTGGGCTCATTCGTATTTCCACAGTAGTCCTGGTCAATGAATAACTATTTCATATAAGAAAAGTTAGAAAAATACAGAATGATCTCAGTGTTGAAGCCTTGCACTCACGTGGGATCATAGGACTGAGAGCCAGGGATAAATTTGTAAGTGGGGGGGAAGAGTGGAGGTCTCTCGTTGAACTCTGAAAACGCCATGCCTCCCTCCATGCAAAGACGCAACTGATCGCGCATGAGCAAGGAAGCCAGGTCGCCAGAGGAAATGCAAAGAAGGATGTCTTCTTTGCTCAAGGTAGGAGGATCTCCTGGGGGCAACGGATGGCCCGGAAGGGTCGGAAATCCCTCCAACCGAGAATTCACGTCCCCGATCCAAAAGACGTAGCTGCAAGGCAAAATGACAGCATTGTGATGGACAATCACTGGGGTGAGAATTCAAGAGAGTGACAAATCCATTATATGCATACTCGTGAAACAGAATACACGAGGTCTGAGGAGAAGAGAAAGTTTGAGTCTCAATGGCTTGATTATAATTTGCAATGCGCTGTTGGAGTAAAGTGTCATGAGGTGCGAGGTGAGAGTTGACAAGGCAGATCGATACCCCTCGCAATGTCATTCGTACAGAAGTCACCCCCTTATTCCCCTGAAAAAGGTATGGTTCACTTGATGCACAATATGTAACTCGAACCCAGAGAAGTCACACAGATGATCATGCATGCAAAGACCTTTTAATAAAAGACAGAAGCATGCAAAATTGGATACCCATTTCTTAGCACATACATCATCAGAATGATAATATCGCTTTTTTGATAAGTTAAGACTCTACAATATTCCTTAGGCATTCTAATGTGCCAGAACTTTGTCAATGCACCTACAACAATATGTACCAGCACTGTAAAGAATGCTGAAAAAATGTTCTGCTATATACAGTGACCCCACAGACACAGACAAGCTTTGACACAATGTATCTTCAGGTTATGCTCATTGCAAAGCCTTATGTTGCAAATTTTATTTGAAACAAAAGACAGAGCACAAAATGCCTCACCCAGATTCCAGCAAATCCTGTCCGTGTAAGGGCATTTTCCATGTCCTGCACTTGGAGGAGGTGGCACTCCTTCACGTGCACGAGAAGCAGCATCCCCTGCATTCGGATTCGCCTCACCCTTAGGTAGCCCAGGGGCTTCAACACCCTCCTGGGGGCAGGAACGACAAAAACGACGACCGTCTATTTCCAACCCGACGGATGCGTGCCGGCAAGAAACGAGAAACTTAAAAAGACCTGAAAGCCAGGGACCAGGGATCCTCAAACACTGCATCCATGAGGAGGTCTTGTGGCTTGGTGGGGATCTCCTGTAAACTGAGGAAGAAAATCAAAGAAGCAAGCCTAGAAGCCTACAAGAAATAAGTTTGGCTTGACACAAAAACAAGTATTAATTCCACACATATTATAGACTTTTATGGGATACCTAGGCCAAGCAAACTTGCTAAAATATGAGGGCATCATGCACTCTAAAGATATGGTAATGCTGTTACCATTAAAAAAAAACCAAACCTTATATTTCCTTTTTTTTTTTCATCAACCAAAATGGCATCAACCCATTGACTGACCTTTTGGAAACCACTCAATATCCTTTACCATTAAAAAATTTGCTCCTTATGATTAGTCACTGATGAATTACCGGTCCAAGGACAGATCAAGTGCCAAGTGCTGTTTGCAAAGTGAATATTTTAATATTAGATGATAAAAAATACTACCCTATGTGCAACCAGTGGAATAATGGGCTGGGGGTAAAACCCCAAGCCTAATGTAAAATATTTGCTGAACCACTATGAGTTCTATAAGGATGAAAAAGTAACTTTTTTTTTTCCTTTAAAGAGATAACAACCTCTCTTTCTCCATGAAGTTCTCCTCTTGGCCAATAGTTCAAAGCATATTTCAAAGAGGCTCCACAAGAAGAGTAGAAAATGAAATGCAATCCAAATTACCATATTCTTGGTATACAATTCCATTTTACAGCCTATTGATCAAGTTTTGAAATAAGCCAACAAAAAGCCCACTTTCAGCATCCCCTTACACCACTTCCTCCACACACATTCATAAGTCAAAATTAAACTTACCCAACAACAATTATGTCATGGTTTGGCACCTTCTCTTTAGGTTTTTCATCGGCCAAGTCGGCACGAATCACCCCGTCTGAGTCGTGCGAGACCGGGGAGAGACCGAGCACGCTCTCGAGCGGATGGTCCGACGATTCGGGAGGGGTCCCGTGCACGTTCCATGTCACAAAATGGATTCTGCAATGTAAAGGAAGAAAAACACAATGTTGCATCACCTTTAGCAGAGCAATTGAGTGGCTAAACCTCATCTATTGCTTCACTGAAAATGAATTCATTAAATACAAAGTACTAAAACATCTGGCATGGCCAAAAGGAGTGAATGACTGAAACTACGGAGAGAAGCAGTAACACCTACAATGAGATCACTGAATTTTCCATATCCTTAACAGAGATTAAGCAAAATTCAAGCCACAACATTCCAGGAAGTCAATGACAACTTAGCCCAATTTTCTATCTTAAATGGAGACAGGGTGCATTTTGCTGATGCAGAAAACAACCCAAGGGACAAACTGCCAACACGAAAGCAGTGGGCTATACGAACTACTTATCGTGCACATGAAGGGCTTCCTGCAAAAGCAAATAACTAGAATCCCCAGTCGAATGACCTCCAGGGTATTTTCCTCTGTTCACACGGGAGGCAACCGTCTCGCAAGCTCGTCCGGTCGATCTCTGCTTTCTTCAAGAAATCGTGAACCCAATCCTAAGAATTGATGAAGGAAACCTTTCTTAAAAAACTCCAGATTCTCCAAACTGTTTATGAACTGCACAGCGAGAGACTTCACGGCACAGAGCAAACCGAGCAGGCCATGCCACAAGGAATCCTTCCCAAGTCTAATATTGAACAATAGTCAATGATGTTGCTGACAGGCCTCTGTGGAGCTTCCTACCAACATGTTTCTTTCATATTCATATCCGCAATCCCATTATCTGTCTCGGCCTGAATTCTGAAATTTCTCGAGTAGCATCCTAAATAAAATTGAGAATTTAAAAACTTAGCGATCCACATGTGAGGCATGAAAGTTCAAGCGAAGTTGAAGGGCTACGGCTAGAATGAAAGTGCGGCTAACAGCAGCAAATCGATGTTGCATGTGCTGGTTGCCCTAATGATGAAAATTTATGCTCATCAGGACATTCAACATAGACTAAATTGTGGGGCTGCCTTGCTACAGACATTCTTCGACTCAAATTAGACCCACTGCACGGAAATGTTGCATGCAATGATTGAGTTGGGGCAGGAAACTTGAAATCCTCTACATCTGCAAAACAACAAATATCCTCACTGAAATGGTTCACAAACCCTGAGATTGACTCACAATGAACATAAATGATCCATGTCAACGGGTTCAAAGTCTTCAGGAAAGTGTGGAATAATGCCTGACCTTAAGAAATTCTTTGGGTTGGGCCTAGGCCTACTTGTTGCCACACTCCTGCAGATTTCCCTTGAATTTCACGACCGACTGTTAGTGCTACAAATCCAGATTGTTCATTGAGGATATCGACACAAACTGCCTCGTCCACAATGGTATTTTCACAATATTGAAAGTAAAAGTATCTGTACATGAAAAAATGACTAAATGGTATTAGATCCTGCATTAAATTAGTTATTCCCAGTTAAGTCCTACACAANAAGAAATTCTTTGGGTTGGGCCTAGGCCTACTTGTTGCCACACTCCTGCAGATTTCCCTTGAATTTCACGACCGACTGTTAGTGCTACAAATCCAGATTGTTCATTGAGGATATCGACACAAACTGCCTCGTCCACAATGGTATTTTCACAATATTGAAAGTAAAAGTATCTGTACATGAAAAAATGACTAAATGGTATTAGATCCTGCATTAAATTAGTTATTCCCAGTTAAGTCCTACACAAAATCCGATTTAAATACTAGACTGCTCCTCTTGGCATCCCACACTCACTGGATGATAAATACGACAAGAAGTGAAGCTTAAGCTCTTTTATGAGCATGGGGTCAGTCCTTAAATATATTCCCATCAAAGTCTATTTCATCCAAGAGTTGGCAAACGTGCGAAGAAACCAAGACTGGGAAGTGGTTCGAAATCAATAACTCTGTCAAGATTGCTTGAAGTCAAACTTTCTTACACATCACACACGTACATCAACGGTTACACATATCAGGGCAAATTCTTAATTTTAGGCCTACTTGCAATTATCGCTCCTATCTGTAATTAAGTCGTAGAGTGATCCACCTAGCCTAGAAAAACTGGAAGGGCCACGAACTTGATTGGATGCATGGAGGCGGTCGCGTGGCCGAGGCCACTTCACCATGCGACGAGAAGGCGGTGGAAGACTCCCACGACTAGCTGCACTTGGCTCTCTCCAGCCCTCATGGGTGCAGGCCTAGCATGTGGGGGGCTCCGGGGAGCCATGGAGGGTGACAGGGTTGTCGGATCGTCCCGTTCCTTTCGCGCCCTGCCGTCGCCTGTGGCTTACATGGTGTGGTATTTCTAAATTTTTTTTTTGCTCGGGATAGTCCGGTCCTCTAATTCTCTTCTCTCGCTGCCGCTGACCTCTGACGAAAGCAGTGTTTTTGTCCTCAAAACTGTCACCAAGAAAGGCCACCAAAGCCATATGCGCATATTGATGTGCCTGATGACGCAGTGAATATGGACCATTGGCAGCAGTGAGACTTCTCCATTCGTTATGCAGTGTTTTTTATTTTTACTTCAGTTATATAATTTCTCACTTGACTAAGCCACCGATGCGTGGAGTATTCAAAGAGGAGGCGAGGGCGCTGGCACCCTTGGTGACCAGCGACACCTTCTCTCCGAATATTTAGGCTTTTTCATATGAATCAAACTATGTACTGGAAACGATGAACCGCGAGCATAGCGACGTTGTCAATAGGCGACCTTCCTTGCAGTCTATTTAAATAAAAATAGGCTCTAAGTTTTCAATTTCCCGTTGGCTCAACGATGTAAAAACACTGGATCAAACTTCCATGGGCAATCCCAGGTCTACCTTGGATAAGCCTAATCTAGTTTCTGTGAGTTCGGCGTGGGAAATGATAATTGAGAACTCAGGAACGATGCGGAAAACGTCACCAGCTTTATTGAGATGTTATTAAGGGATACAGTAGTAGGTGCCACGAATCCGGTACACGAATCCGTTTCGTCCAAATCGACCAGGTCCGTGGCGGATCTCACGAAGCTTCATGTATGCTCCATGGAAGCGGGGTTTCCATTCGCGTGTCTCCTGGTTCGTTTTCGCTCCCGGGTCCTCTTGGCTCATTTGCGCAAACACTCCGTCTCGTATGGATTTTTCGAGCCCTCGCATCAAGAGGGCTACTTCGTGTTCGACGGAATTCTGAAGATTCTGAAAGATATTTGAAATATTTTGCTTGTTCGGCTGATCCACTTCTTTCTCGATGTTAGCCAGATTCGAATCTTCAACTAGTTGCAGTGCTGCTATCCTTGATCCGAGATCTAGAAACTGGTCCTGCGTTCTCTGCGCAATATCTTCGATTCCTCGTCCCATCTGCGATTCTGCGGCTCCGTCCCTTTTAGACATGGTTGTGAAGCGTTACCCACAGCAAGACGTGCAGCTGACTCTCCTCCGAAGCCCAACTTCTCGTCTCGGCACCCGTAACAGTTCTTCAAAGCGCTTTCTTATCACGTAAGCCTTGACAATGAATCACCACCGAGCGGCAAGATCGAGCCTCACTCAATCGTCAGTTGTAACAAAGGAACATTTCACTGGGGGCCGAGATACTGCTTATCTACAACGATAATAAACGGTATCTCAGGCTTTCACCATTTTCGCTTTTCAGAAATACGAAAGCCGGGAATGGATTTCCATCATTGGGTGAGAGAAAATTCATCATATACATACATGCATGCATAGAGTGAACTCTTGTTATACCGCTATCCTAGCTCATCGCCAAATCTTTCCGAAAAAAAAAAATCTTTCCCATGAGCTAAAAATTGGCGATACCCCATCGAAAGGCGTACCACTTCGAGCACTTCGAAGACATCCTCCCCGTGATAGGAATAACTTTGGACGCTTTCGAGTTGGAAATGGTCAGTCCAATATCAGCGCAGACATGTAGTACCTTTCTGC